TATACCCTGTATGGGCGCCCTGTGCACTGTATGGGTGCCCTACACACCCTATGGGTGCCCTATACCCTGTATGGGCGCCCTGTGCACTGTATGGGCGCTCTGTACACTGTATGGGCGCCCTGTACACTGTATGGGTGCCCTATGCACTGTATGGGCGCCCTGTGCACTGTACGGGCGCCCTATACCCTGTATGGGTGCCCTATGCACTGCTTGGGTGCCCTACACACTCTATGGGTACCCTATGCACTGATTGGATGCCCTGTGCACTGTATGGAAGCCCTATGGACTGTATGGGTGCCCTATGCACTGTATGGGTGCCCTGTGCACTGTATGGGCGCCCTATACCCTGTATGGGTGCCCTATGCACTGCTTGGGTGCCATATACACTGCATGGGCACCCTATACACTGCATGGGCGTCCTTATACACTGCATGGGTGCCCTATGCACTGCATGGGTACCCTATGCACTAAATGGGTGCCCTACACACTGTATGGGTGCCCTATACACTGCTTGGGTGGTCTGCACACTGTATGGGCACCCTATACACTTTTTGGATGCGCTATATACTGCATGGGCACTCTATATGTTGCTTGGGTGCCCTATGCACTATATGGGCACCCTGCACACTGTATAGGTGGTCTGTACCTTATGCACTGTATGGGAGCCCTATGCACTGCATGGGCACCCTACACACCGTATGGACACCCTATACACTGTCTGGATGCCCCATGCACTGCATGGGTGCCATACGCACTGTATGGGTGCCCTACCCACTGCTTGGGTGCTCTGCACCTTGCACGGTGCCCCGTGCCTTGCACGGGCACCCTATACATTGCATAGGCTTCCTGTGCCTTGCATGGGTGCCCTGCATCGTTCATGGGTGCCCTGCAGCTTGCATGGGCACCTTATACATTGCATAGGTGCCCTGCACCTTGCGTGGGCACCCTACACTTTGCATGGGTGCCTGTCACTTCCATGGGTGCCGGGTGTCTTGCACCTTTTTCCTGGGTGCCCTGCACCTTGCACAGATCCTCTGTGCCTTGCATGGGTGTCATACACCCACCATGGGTGCCCCGAGCCTTGCATGGGTGCCCTGCACCTTTCATGGGTGCCCTGTGACTTTTATGGGTGCCCTGCACATTGCCCAGACACCCTATACATTGCACAGGTGTCCTGCACCTTCCGTGGGTGTCCTGTGCCTTCCAAGGGTGTCACCCACCTCTCATGGGTGTCCTGCACCTTCCGTGGGTGTCACCCACCTCCCATGGGTGTCCTGCACCTTCCATGGGTGTCACCCACCTCCCATGGATGTCCTGCACCTTCTATGGGTGTCACCCACCTCCCATGGGTGTCACCCACCTCCATGGGTGTCACCCACCTCCCATGGATGTCCTGCACCTTCCATGGGTGTCACCCACATCCCATGGGTGTCACCCACCTCCATGGGTGTCACCCACCTCCCATGGATGTCCTGCACCTTCTATGGGTGTCACCCACCTCCCATGGGTGTCCTGCACCTTCTATGGGTGTCACCCACCTCCATGGGTGTCACCCACCTCCCATGGATGTCCTGCACCTTCCATGGGTGTCACGCACCTCCCATGGGGGTCACCCACCTCCATGGGTGTCACCCACCTCCATGGGTGTCACCCACC